TCATTTCTTTCTATTTTTTTAGTAGAGACGGGGTCTCACTCTTGCTCAGGCTGGTCTTGAACTCCTGACCTTGAGCGATCCACCCGCCTTGGCCTCCCAGAGTGAAGGAAGGACATTCTGAAGAAGGACTATGTATAGCACTAAATGTTCAGAGAACTAAAGAAAATAACTAAGAAAAATCTATTTGTGATGGCAACCCATCAATCTTTGGGGATCATTAAGGAAGTAGTCTCAGAAGGAAAAAAACAGGTGGCCAGGAGAAAAACATTGAATAATTTTTCTACAAATCTAATGTTTAAGAAAAGAAGAGAACAGTAGTTTCAAAGACATCAAGATTTAAAGATGGGTCTTTTAGCACGGAGAATCTTGAATTTTTGGTCTGCTCACATGTAAGAGTTAGTAGACATGGCAAAAATGAAGATAATATAAAGAAAATGAAAGAAGATAGAACTAATATGGCAATGTTCCTATGGAGTTGACTCGACTAAAACTATTGTTCTTTGTTGAAAGTATGGGTTGCCTAGATGTTACAAAGGAATCTCACTGGTTAACATATTATTAATATACCACATTTTTCTTGAGGAAGAGAGTAAATATCACCATAATATTTTTAATAAATCTTTAATATTTATTCTTTTTAGAAGATTTTCTATATGCCTTGGGACAGATGTAAGGAGCTGTAGTTGAATCTACAGTAAAGACATTTCTGTTTAACATAGATATAGGCATTTTCCACTTCTACCTGATCATTCCAAGTGAAATCAGGATAGATGCTGAGTGTTACTCGGAGGACAGTTCGTGTAATGGGCTGAATGGATGCTTCCATCGTGACGGAAGGAATCTGATGAACACATTGTTTGACCTTCAATCCAATATTCACATGATGCAAAATGTGACCTGCAAGGAAAATATCACATAGAAGAAATGCGTCCAGACAGAAAAAAGCAATATAATCTGACTTGTAAATGGGATTTCAGAGAAGGTGATTTTATTGCTTGTTTTATGATTTGCTATGTAGAATAGCTGACATTCTTGACCTGGCATGTTTGAATATTTTGTAATAGTTAACTTGAATTAGCAATTCATAGCTCAGAAAACCAGTATCTAGGTTTCTTTAGCTATTAATAGGGTTCTTAAAATTACTGAGACTCAAGAGTGTTTAAACTACTATTATATAAACTGACCCACTTCTCTCCGAGTTAGTTTATGATACAGTATAGAAATATTTAGTATTTTGTAAAAATACCTATTAATTTATTCAGGGTCTATTTCATAATTTTATAACCATGGTGGGAAATGCTTCACTAATCAAATGCAACTCACCCATCCACACCCGTTTCCAGAAAACATAAAGATAAAATATAAAATATGGTCGATCTAGCACAAAATGAACCACTTACATATATTTTCATAAATAATCAGATTCTGAAACACAGATATTTATGGAAATGCTGATGGATGGGTTTCATAAACAAATGTTACATTTTCTACTATAGGCTGAGCAATTAAGTGGAAATAGAGTGTATTTTATAGCATCAAGATTTCTTATATGTCTTGGTTCTTCAAAATAGAATATTTTAAAAGAGGATATTATTAATAAATCAAAATTTGCTTATTCAAATGTGAACTAAAGTTGATCTTCCTTATTTTGATAAAATATTTACATATGTTACTTCAATGTAAATATCCTCAATTTCCCTTGTTAATAATCCCAATTTCTCTCTATTGATACTTCCCTTCTTCCATTGTATTTTAGAAGAAATATTCTTCCTCCTCTATAAATGTAATAACTATCTCAGCCTCTTCTGCGTCTTTGCACTTATTGCCAGCAATAATTTTCCCTCCTATTTCTCTTCAGTGTGACTCCCTTCATGTGTAATGTCTATCCTATTCTGAATTGAAATATTAACTAATCAATGCATTATATATTTGTCCAATAACATGCCAGGATACATGAAAAAGTATGTAGAAATAACTTTTCAATATTATATAAAAAAATCAGAACTCCAAATGCTATGTGCACACTGATACCAACTGGGTTTAAAGATGTATATGTGTATAATG